TTCATCTGCTCTAAGAGAACAGGGTGAGCCTCACTGACATATTTTACCCATCCAGGATGTCAGAACAGGCACAGAAATCCAAATCCACCACCTCAGACACGCTGGGCAACACCACCTATAACCTCCAGTTTACATTCCTCCCTCCTATTAGGATTTGCCTTCCTTTAATGATTATGCCCTTTGTAGGAATAAGACCCAATTCCACCTCTCCCCTTAACACCCTAATGTAATTTAAAAGTCTTGAAAAGAAGCAAAAACAATCTTAAAAATGCATGTGAGCTACCTATTATTTATACTGTAATTGGGGAATGGAAGTATAACCACCTGTACAAAAAAAAAAAACCAAACAAAACCAACAAAATAGTCAAGCTATACCTAAATTTCTCACAAAATGGAAAAAAAAAAAAAAGGAAATTATTTTTTTCTTACAAACTTCAGAAGTCCTTAAGCAGACAGTAACCAGGCAGAGTCTCCTGCAGAGCCCTGAGCCCGGGTGTGCTCGTGGGTGTGCAAGGACATTTCTGTGGCCCCACGTTGTCCCAGAACAAGCCCAGCACTGAACACGCTCCCCTGACTTCATTAATCCAACCCTTGCTCGTGTATCAAAGTGCAGCACGTTTTCTTGTAAAAATGATTAAGCTGCTAATTAAGCTGTTTATAACTTGTTTCCCTGGTTGCTAATGATAATTAACATGCAAATTAGCCGAGGGAAGAGAGGCACAGGGGTCCTCAGTTCATTACCAAGTTAATTACTGTTTGCATACTTAAACATAACAGTTATAAATGGTGGCATTTAATGTAATGGCCAAGATGATAATTATACCAACGACATTTTGAAAAGTCATTTCAGTGTGTGCTATTTTTCTGGGTGATTAATGTTTCCATGGCTGGTTGATAAACTTGATCCAAACCCACGAGTTGGAAACAGCATAACCAGGCAAGTTATCCCTTAACAACATTTTCTTAGCCCCGTCTGTTTGTAAGGGAGGGAAGGAATGAGAGGAAAGAAGAGCAGTCAAGCCTCAATATTAACAGAGGAGGAACAAAATGGGCAGGTTAACACAGTCTAATTTGAGTTGGCCACGTATCTGTGAGATGTTGGAACAGTTTCCCTTTTTTTATACCTCACGATCAGTTATTCCATGTCACAGCAGTGCTGGGAATGCCTTCTGAGACTCAGCCCATCACACTCATCACACCAGGCACCACCCTTGGCCTCCAGTGCTTATATCCTAAATAAACACGGGATACACAACAGAAAAGTGACACTGGCCACTGGCACTGGGAAGAATGGGAGCAGAGGGCATTCATTTTGAGGGGACTTTGTTCAAGTGAACCTGTTCCAAACACCCTCACAGGACACAGATGTGCTGAGCTGGTTGGAAAATCAGCCTGGCTGGGCTGATTATTTGGGTGAGAGAGATGTGAAATCTGGGAAGTGGAAGAGTTTGGCTCTCCAGAGGTTAGTCCTGCTCCCTGATTACATGTGGCCCAACTGTTCTCAGTCTCAGCAGTTTCCATCTAGAAAATCTTGTACTTGCAAGTCTGGGCTGGGAAACGGCAGTGGAATAACTCAGAGCAGGAAACGACAGGATTACAGGGGGTATATTTTGTAATACCCAGATCCAGACTCATGGGGTCAGACTATAAAATGACCAAGCTAAGAACTTCTCTGGCCTCTGCCACCTTCCACCCACAGGTTTCAGAGCTCTTTACAAGCACCAAATTAATGTCTGGCTGTGGCACTGAGACTGGACGTGGCACTTAGTGCCATGATCTGGCTGACAAGGTGGTGACCAGTCAAAGGTTGGACTCGATCTTGGAGGTCTTTCCCAACCTGATTGTGATTTCAGACAGGAATTTCTACCCTCCAGCCTTTGTACAGGGGACGTGGCATCAGAGGGGAGGCAGGTGCAAGAACATCGTGAGGAAACACCATAAACCTTATAGGGGAACCTCCTTCACTCACCCCACTCATTTCTGTTCAAAGTCAAGCACGCCCACCTGGCTGTGGAATAAGCAGATCCACTTCCCTGCCTCTCATGGAGCCACTGCAGGACTCCCAGCAGAGGGAGAACACATTAAATTATGCAGCTGCACAGCTGAATCCCACAGTTCCAGCACAGACAACTCAGGCAGCAGAGTCTGTGTGTGTGGTGACCTCTGGGTGCTTTGTGCTGCTGCTGCTTTAATCTCCAGAATATAAACAAAGGGATTATTTCTTTCTCTAATGGAACAACCACGCTTTTCTCGTAATCTCACTCAAGTGCATCTTAATCCTGCTCCTTCTCAAGGAGCCCCGCAGTCCTTTGCATCATCATTCCTACTGGGTGAGCCCAGATCCAGACAGGCCAGTGCATAAAGAGATGGTTTGGGCTTTCTGTGCCCACACACCTTCACCTTTGTGCACCCAGAGAGCACCAGGGTGCTTCATGTGTCAACACATTGATGTTTGAGCCTGGAAAGCCGAGTGAAAAGCCAAGACTGGCACTCACTCCTCAAGGCCTTGCTGAGAAGCTTGAGCAAAGGGGTAAATTTGGTAATAACCAAACCAGATCCAGAGTGCTCTGGTCTAGTTGAAAAGGTGAAGGTTGGACTCCGTGATCTTGGAGGTCTTTTCCAAGGCCTAAATGATTCTGTGACAAAGAACAACACATAAAAGGCTGGCTGAGAATGTCCTGAACAGGAATGTTGCACGTCCCCTTTCCCAGCAGATCTGCCAATGCAAAGCTCAGTCTCCATGTGAGATCTGCTGTTCCAACCCAAAGGAAGGCAGAGCTGGGGGGGAACACGGTGCCAGGGGTGCAAATTTCCTTCAGAAGAGAAGAATATCCTGGCTCTGTCTGACCCCAGAGCCACAGGCAGCCCAACCCTCGGGGCAGACCATGGGCATGGAACCAAATGTGCCCGGGGGTGAAATTACACCCCATGGTTTCACACATCACCAGAGCTCTCCCCTCCAGCGCCAGGGGCACTGTCTCATTCAGTACAAACCACCCTCATTCCCCAGCCTGAAGGAGGGCAGGATCTGGTGTCTGCTCTCCAACCCAGGCACAGCTCAGAGTGAAGAATGACACTCAGATAAATCAAAGATTTTCTTTTTTTTTTTTTTTACACTGCTATTGCTCCACACCGTTACACCCCTTTCTGTCAAAGAAAGTTCATTCTCTTCCTATTTTAAGACAAATTTTCCACACCAAATTACTGGTTTCTCCCCTGCAGCCCCAGCTACACCTGATACTTAAAAGCCCGAGGGATTTGTTACACACACTGGAGGCACCAAGAGCCTTTAAAAGAAAGAAGTGCAAGATTTCTCAGCCCTGTGTCTCTGGCACAGGTTGCTGCAGACACGTGTCAGTGCAGCTACTGCTCTGCAAAGCAGGAAAAAGCAAAATTTGCAAACTTGTGCTGTGTTTATTCCCCCCACACACACCTCCCTTTAAAAATTTATCTGTAATCAGAGACACCACGGGGAGCTATTGTAACATACTTACTATTTAATGAGTGTGCAGCATACTCAATATTTAATGTTTGCATAAACATCTCCCCACTTTTCCCCCTCTCTTTGCTTCTACGATCCTGGAAAAGGAGCTTGTCACACCTACCCCACAGGACAACAAACAGCAAATTGTCTGGTGGCTTGAGAAGAACCTGCAGAGTCTTTAAGCTACAGCCCTGGTTCCACCAGTTACAACAACAGGTTTTCACACTGGCCTCTGCTCACACACCTCAGCAAAATACTATTTTTCCCTCTGCATCAAGCTCCTTAGATGCTGTTCCTCTTACTCCTTCAAGGACCAAAGTTAGGAACCTAAATTAATTTCAGCTGAAGTTTGATACACAACATACAATTGGTTGTATTTGTACCACCTGCTATAAAACCCTAAGACAACAGAACAATGCCTCCCCACAAGTTGTAACACCATCCCCTAAACCATCTGTGTGTAGCAGGGAGCACAGGGGACTCTTAAACCCAACCAGGACTCTTTCTGCTGGAAATGATGGATGGAGGACACTGCCATCCTCACGTTCTTTGGATCTACAAGGCAAAACGTGGCTGGAAGCAACTTCCAGACCACTCAGTCATGCAGCAAAGTCAAATTATGGGTAATGATTTTTGCAGCCTGGACCACAATCCATTGGAGGCTCCAGTCTCGGTTTTATTCCCACAAGCTCAATTCCTGAACCCCAGCAGGGAGGGGCAGAGGTGTTTGATCAGCCCAGCTCCCTTTAATGTGATTTTTATTTCAGAACTGGCTCTTTTGATGCCCTCGAGTCTTTTTTGGCAATATCACCTGTGGCCCGATGTGACAGCAATGCTAAATTATATCTTGACGGCTAATTAGGGTAATTAAAGTGAAAGTAATCAAATCAACGTAATGAGCAAACTCTTAATAAAATGTCAAAAAAATCTCCATCCATCATAGAGGGGTTTTTTTCCTCTTTTGAATGTCAAGGAACATGGAGAAGGAAAGAGTTGGGCTTCAGAGTGGCCCTGGCTTAAAGGGACATTGCCAGGCTGGATACTCCTAAAAACATAGTTAATTTACTGCCAAAAACCACTGTTGTTATTCAAACATAAGGGTTATTATTTAAAAATATGGTTTCTCATTAAAAAATAAAGTTAAATGTGTGGGTTACACCACAGTTCACCAGTTTGTGTAATTCCCTATATCTTGTCTTGCTGAGGGTCACAACCTGGGTTACCTTCCCTGAGGTGAGGAGCTCTTTGTCCCTAAGACAGGGGAGTCCTTTCCCTCGGGCTCCTTTCCCTGCGCATCGCGGTGTCCCGGGAGGAGGCAGGAGAAGCGCAGGCACCGTCCCCGAGCCATCCCCGCACGGACCGGGCTGTGTTTGCGGTCTCCAGGCAACAGAGCGCCCGCTCCTGCCCTCCCTCCCTCCCTCCCCGCCTCGGCTCACCTCGGCTCAGCTCAAGCCCCCCCAGCTCCGCTCTGCAGGACCCACCACACCCCCAGGCTCGTCCCCCGAGGGCCCCTCACCTGCGCAGGTGAGGGATGAGCGGCAGGAGCCTCGTCCTTCCCGCTGCAGGTTCGCTTCTCCTTTGCCGAGGCCAGGGGAAAAGGTAAGCGAGGGGGGAAGGAGCGGTCCCGTCTCTCCCGTGCCAGCGCTGCCGGCGGCCGATGGTTAAAGGTTCATCACGGGGGGGTCTCAACCAGGGAGGGCACAGCCCGGTGGGAGCCCCGACTCATCCTGAATGTTCCATGGGCAGGGAGCACTGCCCAGGCTGTGTGGCTGCTTCCCAGCCGACCTCACCTGGCTGGAGACTAAGAACCTCTGTGCTGGTTCTCCCCAAGAAACCTCCCAGTGCCCAACCCCTGGCTTTTCACAGCACCTGGAGGGACATGATTGCTCATGTCCCTCAGCTGGGAGGAGGTAAAGTAGAAGCACCTGTGCTCTGCAGCCCCTCACCCTGAACTCTCTACAACTCCCTGACAGGAGGGGGGAGCCAGGGGGGGTTGGTCTCTTTTCCCAGGCAACTCTCAGCAAGACAAGAGGACAAGGTCTCAAGTTGTGTCAGGGGAGGTTTAGGTTGGATGTTAGAAAGAATTTCTTCCCAGAGAGGGTGCTCAGCTATTGGAACGGGCTGCCCAGGGAAGTGGTGGATTCTCTGTCCCTGGAGGTTTTTAAGATGAGACTGGATGTGGCATCAGTGCCATGGGCTGGGAACCACAGCGGGGTTGGATCAAGGGTTGGACTTCATGATCTGGGAGGTCATTGCCAACCCAGCTGATTCTCTGATTCTCTGATTTCTGTTGTACAGGCTCCAGCCCTGTCCCACGTGTGATGCTGCCCGGTGAGGGTGCAGAGCATGTCCCCCGAGGAACTCGCTGCCCTGCTCTGCGGGGAAGGGGACCAGCACCTCGCCCGGCAGGACCTGCCCACAGCCACTGCCTTCTACCTGGCTGCCTTCAGCTGCTGTGCCCCCACAGCAGAGCAGAGGGTGACCCGCATGGACAGCAGGCTCCGGGAGCAGGTCATAGCCACTCTGGAGAGCTGGTGCCAAGGCAAGGGGCAGATTCCCAGGATCCAGAGCAGGAACCTGGCCGTCGTGTCCCTCAGTGTGGGAATAGCTGCCATCTTCCTCTCCGCCCTGAGCCCCAACAACGTGGTGTCCTCTCTGTACGAGCTGGAGGCTCTGCTGCAGCGAGGGCGCCCGGAGGAGGTGGTGAGGAGATGCAATGTCCTGCTCCAGGCTGGCCCGGGGTGCCCCATGGAGCTGCTGCTGCTCAGGGCCTTGGCGTGGGTGCTGTCGGGGACAGGGCTCAGGGAGGGGGTGGCAGGGTACGTCCAAGCCTTCGTGCTGCACGGGGCCGAGGCGGTGGCCCATGTGTGCAGCAGGCAAAGGGAGCACCTGCCACGGGTCGTCCAGGCCTTCTCCAGCTACCTCTCAACGTTCCAGAAGGAAAGCCCAGACTGCAGTTCCTTGGAGCAGTGGCTGGGCAACTGCTTTGGCTTCCTGGCTGCGGTGGCACCGGGCGATGTCTGGGTGTGCAGGCTGCAGGCAGCTCACCTCCTAAAACAGGGCAAATTCCAGGAGTGTGTAGCCCTTTGTACCAAGGCCCTCGAGGGCTTCTCAGCTGGTCAGCTCAGAGATGAGGCAGTTTTGGGTCTGCTCTTGGAACGGGCTGCTGCCTATTTCTCCCTGGGTGAACGGGTGCAGGAAATGATGCAGGATTTAGCAGAAGCCTTTGCTGCAAACCCTGCCCAGGCCAGGAGACACTTTGAAGAGCTTTTCTCGCAGCGTGACACCCAGAAGATTGAAGAGCAGGCTAGAACCATCCTGGAGGGGAAGTTTGCAGCGTACAGGGAGGCTGTGCGTGCTCGCACCGAGCTCAGGGGCAATCATGGAGCTGAACTGCTCCCTCCTGTCATCCAGACGATCCAGCTCCTCCTGCAGCTCTGCCCGGGGTCCCAGAGGGAGCTCAGTGTCCGGCTGGCAGAGTGCCAGCTCCTGCAGGGCCACCCCGGGGCTGCCCTGGGCATCTGTGACCAGCTCCTGGCAGCGGAGCAGAGAACTTACCACAACACCCTGCTGGCACTGCGAGGGTTCTGCTCCCTCCATGCCCAGGACCACCAGCAGGCCCTGCAGGACTTTCAGAAGGTCATTGAGCATGATTCCCCACATCCCAACAGCTGCATTAAGGCCTTGTGTGGCCGTGGGCTCATCCGCATTGCTGGTGGCAGCTCTTACCTGACAGCCCTGGATTACATCACAGCCTGCCAGTTAAAGCTGGAAGAAACCCTCTTCACCATCAAGTCCTACGTGCCGTGGAACCAAAGGGGACTGCTGCTGAAAGTTCTCCAAGAGGAAGGACAGAGGATGCTCCAGAAGAAGAGGTACCCAGGGGGCAGTTCAGTTCATTTTCAGAAAAACAAACAGTGCTGGGCAGATTCTTCACCTTGAAGGTGGCTTGTTGTGTCGTTTTTTTCCCGTCCAGAGATGCCCCTGGGGTTTTCCAGCTGGCCTGTCTCTTGGTGGAGCTGGACACTGCTGATGAGGCCTCCAGGATCCTCTGTGCTGATGCCCTGTACCAGATGGGCCGTGGAGAAGAAGCCCACAGGCTGCTCTCGCTGGTCCTCTCCAGAAACCCCCAAAGGGCTCCTGTCCTGGCCAGGCTGGCACTGCTGCAGCTGAAGAAAGGGTTTGTGTGTGATGGAAACCAGGTAAGGAGCGTGTGGAAAAGCTTCCCCTTCAGGGTCATTCCCTTCTGAACATTTGTCTGGCTTGGCACTGCCTGTCCCAGACCTCGGCGAAATTACAAATTAATCCTCATGCTCAGTGCTTTGTGTGCATTGTCCTTTTATAACCGAACTTTTTGCTGTTAGAAGCTCCAGGAACAGCAACGGGGAGAGCTGTTGACACAGTGGAATTTGGAGCCCACGTGAGGTTTAGGTGATTCAACCTCTAGCAAAACTTTTAAGATCTAAATACAGGCCTGAGATGCATCAGAATCACAGGACTTTCTGTCTGTAGCACAGGACACACAAGGACTCAGCTAAATCCAGCCCATTCCTCTCATGGCTCTTTCCAGCAGAGACTTTAAGCAGGTAGAGCATGACTGAGCATCCTGCCCCCGGGGACAATATTGTGGGATTGATGATTTTCCCCCAGAGAAAAGGAGGCAGCAGTGCCACCTCACTGATTATCCCAACGAAACCCTGGAGAGCAGGGCGGGGAAAGACACAGAGCCTCCAACATCAGTCTGCAGTTTTCTCCCCTTAATGCTCGTGCTTGAAACCCTGGAAGAGGTTCCAGCACATTTCATCCTCCTACCGGGGATTGCAAAACTGAATTCCCGGGTTCTGCCATCAGAGGGAACTATTGCATTTTTTAAAGTGCCACATAAACGCTAACCCTAAAGAGAAAGGTTTTACTATTACCACTTCTCTACTCCCTATGAAAAGTAAAAGTTTGGTGTGATTTGCTGCCTTTGGGGAGGCTATTAATGAGTGACATGGCTTAATTGGAGTCCATGTGCTGCCCCTGGAAGTTGGATTCCTATCTGCAGCTTCTGCTGCAAGTTCTGCATGGGGACACACGTCACCAGAAATTTCTCTTCAAAATGTTTTCATCCCACCTGCCTGTCAGAAGCCAAACACTTTTATCTATTAATAAAATAGAGAAAGTAATAACTTCAATGGATGTGTCTGGTGCATCAGGATAACTTTGTTCTTGTCCTGACTTCCCTGGCTCAGATTTGAATATCCAGTACCTGCTGGTTGCTGTAGAAAACACCTTTTGATTCATTTCCACAGGAAATGCAGTAAAACCTTGCTTATGAATCTCACTGCGGTAAATGGAGGCAAAGATACCACAAGTCAGGCAAGATCCTTTTCCAGGAGGAAAACACTTTGTGGATTTCAATCCATACTTTTCCCAGATTCCCAATAACAATTCTAAAAAAAAGGCTCAGCACTTCCCTGACTTTCCATTAACTCACTAGTTTTGATTTTACAGTCAAAAGGGGTCACTGGAATCCTTCTGTGTCACAGAAAGGTTCTATTTTTGGGGCAAATGCATGGTTCACCTGCATTTACACAAACACTTCCCTGCCAGTCTGGAGCAGATGCTGCCCAAAATAAACCAGACAGCACCAGGCATTTCCCCACAGTTGTTTCCACGGCTGGAGTGGTGGAGAGAAAAGACAGGAACTGCTGTTTTCTCCAACATGCATTTACACCAGAGCCAGCTGAGGAGTTAGATGTGAGATTCCTGTCCTTGGCTGGGCCGTGGCTGGGAGAAGCCCCCAGGGGAAGGTGGGCAAGTGCTGGGTGGGAGCAAACTGATCTGACCAGGTGGTTTAGCACAGCTTCACACCTCCTCATGCAAGTCTTCCTCTGCTACCTTTCTCCCTTCCATTGTTAAGCTGCTACAGAGAGTGATCAGGACTGGAGATACCTCCTGCCTCCTGCCCATCATGGACATTTTCCAGGCTGAGGACAGGAAGCTGATGCAAACCCACTGCCATTTCCAAGCACTGGCCATCCTGGAGAGCCAACAGGAGGATGTTCACATCAAAGAGGCCATTGCCTACCTGTCCTGTGCAATTATTGCTGCAGGTAGGGCATCAAGGTACCAATGGAGATGGACTTCTAGGGGAAATTAGATCAGTGGGTGGGACAGAATGTCCAGCCAGTTCTCATCTGCCACCTCCCCAAAGAGAAGACTGGAGCAGCAGGGTCATCTGCACCATGAAAAGGTGCAATAAAACAATAAATAATAAGTGAACAATCTGTGAATTCCTTGAAATGGGTTGCAAGTGTTCAGTTCAGTTCTGCAGGGACGTCAGCCCCTCTTCTTCACCTGCCAGAAAGCTCAAAGAGTGAGTGCAGCCACTTACATGGGATCCCTGTCCCAGCTTTTCCCAAGGAGAGAGCTCAGGCTGAGGCAGGAATGCTTCTGGCGTGTTCCAAGTGAAACCATGTTTGTATAGAAATCTGCCTTTCACTCTGAGCAAATGTTATGACAGCAGCACTGAGGGGAAGAGAGACTGGCTCATGAAAATGGAAAAAACTCTGTTAATTGCTTGGAGATGGTTCCATTT